GGTATTACTAAGGGCAGTGGACACGGAGCCTGTTGGAGTCACGCGGGAGTCAGTGTGGCAGGCATAAGGGCTGCCTGATGCTGCTTATGGAGAGAGACCCTGAATGACCACCCCGGAAGGGGAAACTGCTGAGGGACCTGGCCAGAAGGCTGAGTGTGAAGAAGAAGCTGCAGTTCCCGCAGTGAGCGAGGGGCCGCAGACAGAGTGAAGGGGCATCGGCCTGGCAGAGCTCATCCCCAGAGGCATCACCCAGCGGTGAGCAGAGCGCCCCATCACAAACAGTAGATCCTGGGCTGGTGCAACTGACTGCAGTGAAGATACCTGCTGGCCACCAGCGGGGGAGCCAGCCCAGCGTGCTAGAGCCATGTCTGGGGGCTGGAGTGGGCTTCCCTACATCTGCACTTGGTCAGTGTGTGCTCAACATCCTAGCACGTTGGGGTACCTGGACTCCATGAGGCGCTCGATCACGGTCTAGCCTATTCTGTCTTTTTAAAGAAACCCTTCTTCCAGCAGTTATAAAACCCACGCCTATTGTTTACCCAACAGCCCCGTGCCCTGGGTCAATCTCCAGGAAGGGCCTTTCCCTGTGAGGTGTGTGTATCTTTCCCACCCCAATAGTGGGGTTCTCAGACCCCTGTGCTTGTCTGCTGGCCACGGGCAGCTTTTCCCCTGTAAATCCCAAGCCTCAGTCCACGAGCCAATGCGTTTCAGAGCATTTCTATTCACAACCTGTCACCGGCGCTATGGGCTGTCGAGTAAATACCTCATTCAGCACACGTACCAATTTGGGAAATGCATAATATCTACCTGACAGAGACATCCTGATCTTGCACAGAGGGCTGGTGAAATCCACCCTGCCACGAGGCAGGCCTGTGGACTAGGCTTGCCCTGTCCAGTCCCACTGTGGTGCAGGGTTTGCCACAGACTTCCCATGATACTCTGCAGGGCCAGGCAGCAGCTAAACCACAAGAGTGGCTGTCCCAGCCTGAAAGTCCCTGTGAAATCAACCTTGTTTGCAGGGTATCACCCCTTACTGTGCATTGTGCCAATGCTGCCCAGTTCTCACGTTTCCTTCCCAGAAGGCAGCAGTGATGGCCCCTGGGTGAGCTGCATTTAGGTTTCACACCCTGACCCAACCCACCCTCAGACAGTTTGGACTATAAAAGGCCCCCACATCAGAGCATGCCAGACTGGGGCACCCTTCTGCTCCTGTGGAATAGACTCCCGCTGGAGTCACTCCAAAGCCATTGTCAGCGCTCGATAATACTGGGAAAAGCCAGGGCCCTGCACTGGCACCTTTGTGTCAGGCCTAGCAGCCTCTTGCCCACCCTCTGCCCTTCCCAGCAAACACCCTCTTTGGGAGGAGGCTGCCGCTCTGGAGCCCAGCCCCGGCGGATCCACGTGGAGCACTGCCAGCTTACCCAGGGACACTGTGCCTCTCACCCTGTGCAACAGAGGGAAGGCCTCTCTAGGTTACGGCGCTGATTATCCTCTCGTCTTGTAAGCAATGCCATCCTCACAGCCTCCTGCTGCCCAGAGGCGCACTCATGTGGCCAGACCTCTACGAAGGGTTCGATTTGCTATTCCTGGTACTCCCCTTGATATCACCGATCGGAGGGCAGGATTGGGCCCCAAACCACAGGCCTTTCCCAGTGTCACCAGCCCCACGTGGTCAAACAGCATGAGGCAGACCCCAGAATTGTGGGACTAAAAATCAAGGGACAATTTGGATTCGTTTTGTTTTCCTTTAGGTCACCCTGGGGTTGTGCTTTCCCATCAGGAGAGTTAGACACTCCAAACCTGAAACATTCTCATCCACCCATGTCTCCGGGAGCTGGGGCTTTAAAAAACCACCAATATTACGAGACTCGTATCACTGCTTTCCCTTTCCTCCCAGAGGCCTTGCCAGTGGCTTCGTCAGCATCTGCTCATCCGCATCGTTCCAAGCCCCCTCCCCCAGGGGAACATCAGGATGAAGTCAGGGGCCTCAAATGTCAATGGAGCCAGCGGCCTCCCAGCCACAGATTGTTCTATTGAATGGCCCCTGTGAGATCTAACAGGTGGGGGCAGAGATCCTGACAAGGCAACTGCAGCCATCCTGAGCTGTCAGTGCACAGAGAGGGAGACCTGGGAGCTGTCAGCCTTCACGAGAGGGGTCAGCCTCTCAGGCCGCTCGGCAGACACAAATCTCGCAGTCGATTGTTCTCCGTGCGCCGCCCTGGGGTCGCCAGCACTTGCAGACATCGGCTGCTCATTCTCACCCATAGACTGTGCCTTGATATTCCGGCCCACGCTCCGCTGCCGCCACCTTGCACGGTGCTGGGGGAGGGCCGCACACTCCGGTTTACATTTCAGCAGTGATGCGCATTGCTAATGCTATGTAACGGCAGAGCCTGGGATGGAAGGGGGGCGTTGCCATCTCCTTGTCAATGGGGTGTGGGCCAAAATCCGAACCCACTTTGACAGCACGGCCTGGGAGCTGGGACTCGAACTGGGACATTGCTGGGTCTCCGCCCCACGCAGGTGAGGCTGCAGCCCAGGAACAGAGGAGCAGAGAGACAGATACAGTCTTGTATCAGAGGGGTAGCCGTGTTAGTCTGAATCTGTAAAAAGCAACAGAGGGTCCTGTGGCACCTTTGAGACTAACAGAAGTATAGGGAGATACAGTCTTGGCAGCATGTGCAGACCCCACTCGTGCCAGCCCAGCTGTGCTATGACACAACTCAAGCTGCTCTTTCCCGTGGAAGGCCAAGTCCACTGGGACTCCACCGAGGCAGCCTTCATTCCCGAGCAGGCATCACAATCCCGCCGTGGGCCCCAGCCACGTACCCCCAGGCAGGAGGCTCTTGGAGGGTGCAGTGGGAATAAGGGGGCTTGTGTTGGAAGTGGGAAGCCCTGGGTCATGAGGCATGTGAGTGGCACTGTAGCAGGGAGCTGCGCGTGGTGTTGGCCTCCCATACCCTCCCCTCTGTGTCACTCAGAGCCCCGCACAGCACAGGCAGAGAGCAGAAACCTGGTCTCCTGGGCCGTGTGCACCTGGGCGCTGGGGCAGCTGGTCCCTGACACGTGCAATGAGGGGGGCAGAGGGGACAGCGCATGGGAATGATCTGAGCCAGGACAGGTCAGCTGGCATCCTGGGGAGCGAGCTGGGGACAGGCAGGGCACGTCAGCCTGCATCACTAGCTTGGCCACCCTGCTGCACCTGCTCTGCGAAGCCGCGCTGTTAACGGGGGATGGGCTCACGGCAAGAATTTTTTAGGGGGGAAGGGATATCTCAGTGATTTGGGCTGTGGCCTGCTAAACTTGAGGTTGTGAGTTCAATCCTTGAGGGGGGCCATTTAAGGATCCGGGGCAAAAATCTGTCTGGGGATTGGTCCTGCTCTGAGCAGGGGGTTGGACTAGATGACCTCCTGAGGTCCCTTCCAACCATGACATTCTAGGATTCCTTGCAGGGGAAGCTGCTGCGGCCACACTGCCAGAGAAAGATCTGGTCCAGGAAGCAGCGAAGAGGAACGTCCCTCCCAGGTGCCTTTAAGCCAAAGGGCAGGGGCCGTCGAGGGGAGGGAAGCTGGTGCAGTGACTGGGGTGCTCGTCTGATACTCAAGACCCTTCTCTGCTTCAGACTTCCTTTGGGCAAGTCATTTTGTGCCTCAGTGCCCTTCTGTGAAATGGGGGTACCACACTGCCCTGCCTCCCTGGGGCTGTGAGGAGTGTTGGGGGGGCCGCACAAGTACCTTAGACCGTGGGGCAAAGGCTGGATGGGTCTGTAAAGGCCGCCTCGGGTAGCCCTTACTCTGGCCATCACAGTGAGTGGGATGCTGAGATTGAGGGGCGCTTTCCCTTCCAGAGAACTTCAGGGTGTGGCCCTCAGAGCTCAGCTGCCTCCTGGTCCCCTTCCTTTGACCAGCCAGGAGGACAACGCTGAGACCTGGGGCTCCAAGGGGTCCCCAGTACTCTCTCTTGCTGCTGGAAGTGCCCTTGGTGGCTCACTGGTTCTGCCCTTGGGATCTTGGCAAGTACCCCAGGCATATCCTTCCTTGGCCACACGTTGGTGCAGCCATGCTCCACACGTTGGTGCAGCCATGCTCCAGCCCTGTGGTTCTCCATACACAGATACCCTTTAAACAGAGGATCTAGCCCCCCTGCAAAGAGGGAATCTGTGCTGCTGAAGGCAATAGGCAGCCAAGGGCCAAGACTGCAAGCCGTTGCTATCACACGTATCCTTGCTCCGGTGTGTGGTGCCACCACTGTTGGCACTTGGTGGGATTGGGCCGCAGTTTTCCATTCGCTATTCATCAGTCATTGGTCCATTTTTTTCCAGTCTAAAACGTTCCAGCCATCCAACCAGGGAGCAGCAACAACACCATGTGACCAGTCACACCTTGGGAATGCTGAGTAGAAAAGACTCATGTTGGACAGAGAGGGCTAACCTCCCAGTGCAGTGTGTGCCTCCCTCTAGGGATATTACCCTGAAGGCATGGGGTGAGTTACAGTTACAGGGGGAGGGATGGGGGGTGTTTGACCCCAACTCTTACAATTCTCCTGGACTCTAGGGGTTACCCCACAAACTGCCAGGAAAATTCCCAGAATGCAGTGCAGTCAGAAGTGCTGCAAGGGACCCTGGGATCCCTACCCACTGTGCACTGCCTTTAATCTGATGCAGCACAGTGCTGTGAGGACACAAGCCTTGCAATGCAATGTTGCCTAAACTGGTTTAGCTGGCTTAGATAAGCTAAACCAACATAACCCGGGACTAAACACATGTCAGAGTGTCCACACTCAAAGTTGCACAGTTTAGCTACATCAGTTTAATGTCACACCTTTCGGGCCTGTCTACACACAAGGTTACACCACTTTTACGTGAGATTTTATTATAAATCAGTTTAGTTAAACTGGTGCCAAGGCTGTGGGGACACTCTCATTTTGACAGGTTTCAGAGTAGCAGCCGTGTTAGTCTGTATCCGCAAAAAGAAGAACAGGAGTACTTGTGGCACCTTAGAGACTAACAAATTTATTAGAGCATAAGCTTTCGTGGACTACAGCCCACTTCTTCGGATGCATTTTGAGTAATTCAGTTCATCTTAGGTCAGTGGGGAACTCGGTTAAGCTGAACCAAAATGAATCATTCATACACTAAATCAGAGTGTCCACACAGAGGTTTGTACTTGTTAACTAAGCCAATGTGATTAAACCCATTCAATTTTGTGTGTGGACAAGGCCTTTGGCTGTATTAATACCATAGACAGAAGGGACTGGAGCTAGCCACTCCATTCGCTGGCATGGCCAGTGTGGGAGGGGAACGAGATAAAATTTAATAAGTACAAGGCTCTCTGGTGCCCCACAATGCAGAGGGTGGGTCCAAAATTTCTTAATGAATCCAGTTAAATGAACCATGCGGTAGGTGAAATGTGCTGCATTAATTCACCACTTTGCAGATGCTGTCAGTAATGTGCTGCGATTGCCAGTAATAAATTGGGATCAGAGATCAGCTGTCTGCATCGGAATTGGTATTCAGTCCCAGGGAACATGCCTTTTCCTTTGGATTTTAGCAGGTCATGTCAGGTTGCTTCTCTTACCTCGTGCCACTCTCTTATTTGAGCCGAGAGTCCTGGTTCTTACATAGCTAGACCCACAAGGCTCTGCTGGTCCTGACAGCTAAAGCCCACACTGCAGATGGGGACAGGAGCAACTCAGGGCTTGGCTCTGAAACCTGGTCTTCTGTGTCAGAGAACCCCTCCGTTTGTTCACAAAGTTCAGCAGGAGGAATGGTGCTTCATGGCAGATTGAAAACCTGTTGCAATTCATTTGCTAGCTGGCTGCCAGACCCAAGCGGCAAAGGCTTAGGGAGACATTTATACCATCGCATTCTCCAGGCTGAAACCTTCTAGCAGCACCGGAGCCTGCTACTGCCGCCCACAGGCTTCTGATCCCTAGCTGGGATCCCCCTGGGGGAGACCATTGCACAATAGCCAGGGGCTTTGAAGTGATTCTCCATCCTCTGAAGACTCCAATGCTGGCCAGAGGAGACACTGTACTGGATGCAAGAAACAGTGGCTCATTGTGGTCAGCAGAATTTATTCATATTCACAAATGTGATGTCTCTTAAGACAACATCAAGGACTGTGGCTCTGGATTTCACAGCCCCTGGAAATGTGTTGTCTTAAAGTAGTTGTCAGAGATGCTGTGTCATTAACAAGGATAATACTTGTCCTCGTATCGCACTTTTCCTCTGAACATCTCCAAGTGCTCTACAAAGGCAGAGAGAGCGATAAATCCAACGTCCCTTGGGAATGTGCGGCTGAAATTTACGAGACTGCATACGATCAAGCTCCGTGTGAGAAGAGCAAACTGAGCTGGTCTGGAGTTAGGAGAAACTGGAATCTGACCAGCCAACTGTGACGCTAGGGGAGGATGCAAACGTCTCTGTAAAAAGCAAAGCTAGGGAGCTCTGTGGTGCGTGCTGGCCTCACACGCCCAGCGTTATGGGCATGTGTGGCGTCACCCATCTGGAGGCTAGACCCCTTGGACCGGGATGGTGGACTCTGCTGTTCCACGGGGAAGTCAAAAAGGAGGATCATCCTGGTTAAGCTTGTCTTGGCTGGGAGCTTGTGAGAGCAGAGACCCATCACTCTGTGCATGCTGGGGTGAGAACAGGCCCCCTGCATTCAGCCCAGGCGCATCTTTGCCGCTCGTGTTTTGCTTCTGACATTCTTAGGGGATGGAGATTCACGTCTTTGCCCAAACAACTTCCCATGCTGCCTGCCAATGAATAATCCCAGAGAACTTGGTGCACTGTCAGTTGAAAGCTCTGATCCCCCCTTCTCACCTACCCCAGTGGGCTGGTCACAGTGAGTTAGTCAAATGGATATAGTCATCATGTTATGCTTTAAAGTGCCTCCTTCCAGCTGTCTGTGCACTCACAGGGTGGCCCTGGGCTCAGGTGGCCAGTGGCAGAGTGTCCTGCTCTGTGCTTGCCTAGACGATTTTAAATGCTCCTACTGTGTAGTCATCAGATTATCTTTGTGCTCCTTATGGCACCAAAGTAAAATCATCCGGTACTGCAATGGGAACTTGAACCCACATAGGCGGAAAGGCAGCGGGAGCCAGCCGAGTGCAGAGCTTCAACCATCACGGACGGGATCTGCAAGGAGATGGGCACTGTTTCTTTAAATCTGGAGCAGGAAGCCAGGTGCAAAGAGGGCTGGGGAAAGGTCCTTGCAGAAGCTCTAGCAAAGTGGAGATGGAGAGGGAGCAGCTTTAGAGATAAAGCTGTATTCCTCATTCCAATAAAGTTCCTTGTTCAGCTGGAGAAGAAAGTGACTCTGTGGCCCTTTCCCATTGCCCTGTGGGGAGTGTGGGGTTCAGTGATCACACAAGGGCACCAAAAACGGGGTCCCTCAGGCACAGCGGGGAGTAGAGCATGTGCCCCTCATTTGCCAATACATAAAACCTGAACTGCAGCAGGTCTCTGCCGGGTCCCTGCAGACCTCAGCGTGGGAGATCCTGTACACAGCTAGTTCCTGCCTCAAAATCTCATAGTCTAACTAAACAGACACAGGGTGGGAGAGGAAACAGAAGCACTAAGATAAGTGACTTGCCCATGTCCACCCAGCAGGTCAGTGGCAGTGCAGGGTTACCTCTCAGGCCTGCTACCCCGTAGTTCAGTGCCCTACCCGCTGGGTCACGCTGCCTCAAGTAATGCCCACAGGGCGGTACTCGTTTCTGCGCCGTCCGCACTGATCCCTCAGGAAAGTGGCAACATTTAAAATAAAACTAGCAGCAGCCCTCATCGCTTGTGAACGTCCTGAGACCCGATGAGATTCCCAGACAACCATTTAAATCCTCTGACACCCAGCCTGGCAAAGAGAGACAGCAGTGGCAATGGGGTAACCCTAACCCTACTGCCGCCATCATGGCCTCCTCTGCCGCACGTGGCCTGGCTAGAACTTCCTGCTCTGTTTGCGCCGACCCTCGCAGTGACAAGGCAGGAGCTGCCTGTCTTGGCTCAGAGCGTGCCATGTTCTGCCCCCCCAGGGCCTTCCCAGCAGGGCTCAGCGCACAGACTTTCACCAGAGAACTGACCCCAGCACCCTGGATGATGTTGTCCCAGATGCTGGGCTGCAGGCCCCTTGCCTTTGTCTGTCACTTACCAACGCTTGCCGTGGGAGTGGAGGCACCGAGATCCGTTGGAGACCTCCCCTTGCGGTTGTGACTTTGTAGCTCTGGATTTGCAGCCTTTCTGCATCCTCGCTCAGCATGGAGTGCTATCTACAATGGTTAATTTGCCAAGAAAGCCCTCTTTTCAGTTTACAGGGACAGAAGGGGGACTTTTATGTGCAATCTGTACAGCTCTCCAGAAAGCACTTACATTTATGATGTTCATGAAATTTATAGCCAGTTGGCAAGGTTGCTCGCTCCCCTCCTCTCCACCAGCCATCATGGCAGCATGGCAGTGTATAATAAGCAAGCCACACATTCAAGTGGCATAAAAGGCATTTCTACAAGTTAGTCTCCTGCCCAGTCTTATAAATTCTAACAAGTCTATAACAAGCAGGCAGGATCTCTTTGTACCCAGGGAGAAAAATCCCTTTCAGAAATGGCCTTTTCACAAAGCCCACACCTTCCCTCTAATTAAGGTTAAATAGCTCCATGTTTTCTGGCCAATTTCATTCTTTTCCCTTATTCCCCGCTTAACAAGGCAGCCTTTAAAAAGGCACCACTAATTGGGGTCTGCTTCTCACATAGCAGGCATGCTTTGATAGTCAGTTAGAATGCCTCCCCCCATCAATCAAACTTGTACTGAGAGCCTGCTAATGTGCTCCATGTGTCTGCCACAGGAGACAGCTGAGTGGAGGGTCCCCAGCTCCAGTCGCTCCCCGTTCCCACATGCCCCCCACGCACCTCCCAGCAAGCAGGGTCCTGAGCCATGGCTGCCCCTGCGACCCCTGGGAACAAGCGGCGAGCTGGGCCCCAGCATTGAGAGGGGACAGAAAGACGACGCGATGTGTGTGGCCAGTTGGGAATGACTGGGGAGTGGTTAAATGTTACGGGTAGGATCTAAAACCAAGAGAGATTGTCATGCTGACGAACCTGGACAAACCTGGCAGCAGGCCAGTGATTCCCAGTCACCTCGTCACCACTTCTGTTATTAACTGATGTGCTGGTGTGGAGGGGGCAGGGGAAATGTTACCCGAAAGGCACAATACTCCCATTCCTCCCCTGCGCCTGTAGAGAAACATACGGGAGGGAGAATCTCATGGTAGTGTCCCCCCCTCTGCCTTACACCCCCCCATGCTGGCATTTTACCGACACAGATTGCATCTGTAACGGTTGGAATTTGCAGCTAATCAGCTCTTCGCCAGCCAGCAGGTCAGCGCTGCCACTGTGCCCTTGAGGACAGACTAGGGGATGTTATTAGAAAGCGTGGTTAGGCCCCTGCTAGCCAAATGCTCTCCCATGCTCCCTTAAACCAAGGCTCCTCTGCATCTGAGCTGGCCCTACTTCCCCACTCGCCCTTTCGGACATCCCGACAAATGCTGCGCCTCGAACTTGCCTCTCTGGCCTGTTGCTGTTTATTTTGCTGGCTTTTCTTAGCTTAGTTGCTGTCTCACCCCCTGAGATTCCAGTCAGAGCGCTGGGCTGGGCCTGACACCAGCAGTGACCCAAGGGTGTGCTGTTAAAGGGGCTGGAGACGTATGGAAACCAGGGGGCACTGGCACGTCAAAAACTCAAGCCACTCAGAGAGCTGGGCACAGTTTCACACTGCCAGCACAGGGACCTTCTGAGCTCTCACTGCTCCATTCATGCCTTCGGTGCAGGGATGTGGGAAGGCACAAGTTAGAGCAGAATCTGGGCTGTTCTCTGGGCCATCTGCCACCTGAGAATAGCTGAGCATGGTGCACTCCGGCCACCACCCATCCCCCCATGCCAATGGCTGAGGTGGGGGGGAGCGCAGGGGTCTTTTGCAGCTCCCTTATACTGGTGTGCCCCCTTTACATTGCAGGAGCCAATGAGAATGGAGATGAGCCTGGCCATGGAGTCTGGCTCAGACCCCACCACTCAGAGGGGTCTGTGTCTCCCCAGGTTTGTTTGGCAAGATGGAGAGCAGCCAGGAAACTCCGATCTGGGCCCCAGGTGCGCCAGCTCTCATGGGGGTCTGGCTGTGGGCCTTTGGTTCTGATCCATCACTGCTTTCAAAACGCTCACTCATGCCTAATGACCACAGCCCAGGGGGAAGGGGCAGGGCAGAGCCAGCTGCTCCAGCGGGGCTGTGGGCAAGCACAAGGCCACCTGCCACTATGCCACCCAGCTGCAGAGGGAGGGCTAGAGGCCAAGGCCCTGTCTTCCCCCTACCCCGTTCCAAGTGGAGGCCTCCCCAGAGGGCACTAGCAGGGAGCAGCCCCTGTAGGAGGCAGGAAGGGAACAAGCACCTGCCCTCCTTCTCTCAGCTGTGCATCTGCCCAGGAGCCAGCCACAATGGGGCCTAACCAGAGCAGGAGAAGGCCCCTGGCCAGGCCAACAGCCCCTGGTGCAGCTCTGAGCGCAGAGCCGGGGCACTCTGGGCACCCAGCACTTGGCAGTGAGACTCCCCTGTCCTGATGTGCCTCTGCCATCTCGTAGCCAGGACTCCCCATTCACAGCCGAGCAGCTAGAGCTGCCAGGAGTCTGGTTTTCAACTGGAACACTCGGTCGAAAAGGGATCCCGGCAGCTCCAGTCAGCACTGATCAGGCTGTTAAAAGTCCGGTTGGCAGCCCAGTGCGGTGCGTTGGGGGGTGAAGCTCACCTGAGCTCAGGATCACGTCCTGCCTCCCGCAACGGCTCCGTCCCTCGGCCGCGCTGGTCGCCACGCCCGTCGGGCTGTCTCTTCCTTGCTCCGCTGCAGGCTCCCACTGACCGTCCTGCGCGGCGCCCCTCGCTGCGGGGGCGGGTTTGTTATGGAGGCCTCGCTCCCCACCCTGCCCCGCTCAGCTGACTCCCATGATGCCGGACCCACTTTTTGGCACCCCCAAATTTTGGTGCCCTAGGTGGCCGCCTAGTTCGCCTAGTGGTTACACCGGCCCTGGAGCCTGCCTTAGCCCTGCTACGCCGCTGCCTGAGAGCTGCCTGAGGTAAGCGCCGCCTGGCCAGAGCCCACAGTCTGAACACCCTGCCCCAGGTCGCAACCCCCTCCGACACCCTAACTCCCTCCCAGAGCCCGCACCTCGCACCCCCTCCCACACCGCAACCCCCTGCCCCAGCCCTGAGGCCCCTCCCGGAGCCCACACCCCACACTCTCTCCTGCACCCCAACCCTCTGCCCCAGCCCTGCACTCCCTCCCACACCCAAACTCCCTCCTGGAGCCTGCACCCTCTCCTCCACCTGAACCCCCTGCCCCAGCCCAGAGCCCCCTCCTGTATCCCAAACCCCGCATCCCTGGCCCCACCCCAGTGCCTGTATCCCCAGCCGGAGCCCTCACCCCCTCCCGCACCCCAACCTCCTGCCCCAGCCCAGAGCCCCCTCTCACACTCTGGCCCCACCCTGGAGTCCGCTCCCCCAGCTGGAGCCCAAACCCCTGCCCCAGCCCAGTGAAGGTGAGTGAGGCTGGGGGCGAGCGAGTGATGGAGGGAGGGGGGCTGGAGAAGGGGCGGGGGAGGGGCCCGACAAGGGTGTTCAGTTTTGTGTGATTAGAACATGGCAACCCTATGAGCAGCTGCTTCTGCCTCCCATGCGCAGACGGGCGGAGGCGGGCGCTGCCTGGGGGATGGCCCGAGGCAGCATCTCGAGGGTTCTCAGGGGGTATTTTGAAGAGCACAAATGACAGTTAGGTGCCTAAATCCCATTGACATAACTGCCAATGGAAATCTCCCCCTACCCGTAGGAGCCCTCCCAGACTCTCTCCACCTCACCTGCCTGGAGCAGAGCCCCCCTCTCCTGCCCCCCCCGAGATACGGCTCCAGACCTGGGTAGTGTGACGGGGAGAGCGGGGTCACTCTAAGCACAGCTCCGGGGCCTCGGGAGGGCAAAGGAGCCCAGTGTGGGGGCCAGACTGGAGCTCGAGGGAGGGGTGGGGAGCCAGCCAGAGAAGGGTCCCTGGGGGAGCAGAGAGAAAAGGTTTGGGGGAATCTCAAGTGGGGAAGCCAGGGAGAACTGCCGTGACAAGGTGGGGAGGGGAATATAATATAACACATATATAATACATATTCATTAATATGTAAATTAGTGTACTATATCGTTTGCATAAAACCACTAGATTGCTGAACCTACCCCCTTAGTGGGTATGGTGCAGAGCTGGGGGTGACATTTTTGGTCAAAAAATAATTTCAGTGAAAAATGGATGTTTGGTCAAAATAAAATCTTTCATATAGTTGGTCCACATTTTCTATTTCCCCCCCCCAGTAAAATAAAAGGGAGGAGGGGTGAAAAATGAATTCTTTTGTAACCAAAACCTTTTAGAAAGTGAGAACATTTTTATTTCTGATTTTCACTGAAAATAGCAAAATAACACCTCATAAAAAAGATATTTTTCTTTTCCATAGTTGTGTCTTTTTCCCATCAGCTTGAACCCGGGGCCTTCATTTGGCAGAGCATCTGGTGGGTAGGGGGAAGCAGGCCCTGGATTTCTAATGTAATGTACAAGATGTCAGAAAAAACTCTCGGCTTTTGGGATGGGAACAGGGGGAAAGGGCCCTTGTGACAAAGTTAATCCTGCACAAGCATGACATAAAGACAAATATATATATATATATATAAAAACATAACATTGGCCATACTGGGTAAGACCAGTGGTCCATCTAGCCCAGTATCCTGTCTTCCGGCATTGGCCAGTGCCAGGAGCTTCAGAGGGAATGAAGAGAACAGGGCAAATATCCAGTGATTCCCCCCAGTCGTCCAGTCCCAGGTCCTGGCAGTCAGAGGCTTAGGGACACCCAGAGCAGGGGGTTATGTCTTGGACCATCTTGGCTAATAGCCACTGATGTATTTATCCTCCATGAACTTATCTTCTTCTTTTTTGAGCCCAGTTATACTTTTGACCTTCACAACATCCCCTAGCAATGAGTTCCACAGCTTGACTGTGCGTTGGGTGAAGAAGTGCTTCTTCATGATTATATAAGCGGGAGAATGGTCCTGCTATTGTGGGGAACTTTCCTGGTTCATACACTACCCCGGTGAAACGGGCTAGCGAAAGGATCTGAGTCCTCGCTCCCACTCCCTTTACCCAGAGCCCTGCCTGACCTCAAGGACTCCCCTTCCACTCTCCTGTGTGGCAGAGTCCTTGGAACCCCAACAAGGCTGGGCCCAGGGTTCCTGGGGGGCTCGACCCCCAACCTTGTCGTGGTCACTCAGGGCAAGGGCTAGGGTGTCCCCACTCTGGGGTGCTCTCTCCACTCCAGACACTTCCCTGATCCACTGATCATTACACACAGTTCAAAGCAAATACACTTTATTAAACAGCAATCACTTTAAAAAATATGGAAAAATGGGAAAGGTGAAAGGAAATCCCGTCACCCCGCTCTGTGGCACGGGGACGTCACAACCAGCGTCTCTGGAACGTCCGGGCAGTTCAGTCTGTTCCTCACACGGCCCAGGCCCCTGCCCAGGCCCTGGCTGTGTTGCAGGGATGCTGCGGGTTGGACACTTGCTCTGGCGGTGGCCACACGCTCTCAGGCTCTAGGTGGCAGGACCCTTCTTCCCAGCGTCGCCCCCGCCCCGTCGGGGTTACGATCCCCCCCAAGTCTGGCCTGCAGGGCCTCTTGGCTGAGACGTCTCCCTGTGCTGGGCCCACTGCCCGGGGTCCCCCCGTCGCTCTCCCAGCTGCTCACCGCACCCGGCTCCGGACTGCTCCAGCCCCACCCTGCCCCTGCCCCTGCCCCAGCGCTGCTGCTGCTCTGCCTCCAGCCCCCTGGGCTGCTTCTCTGGCCCCTCTGGCCCAGCCCTGCTCCCCGGCTCAGCTCAGGCCCCTGCTTTCCCCTTAGCTCGGCCCCACTCTGTTCCAGGCAATTTCA